ATATATATATATATATATATATATATATATATAAATATATATATATTGATAGTTATGAACACATAAATGGTAATTCTTTACAAATACAATAAACAAACCCTAAAGCTCGAAGACACCAATAGTCACGTACACACGCGCACACACACACACACATACACACACACACACACTCGATCAGGAATCAAAAGGGACTGGATTTGGGAGAAGAGCGGGTTTTGGGAACAAGCCACTGTTTAGTTCAGCTTCCATAGAACCGAAGGTAATTCCCAAGACACTCCATATATAGAGATGAAAAATAGAACAAAAATTAAGTTTTGTGGATCCGTCGGTGTTCTGCCTGGAGTCAAATTTTCCTTATAAATCCGTGAGCGAGGGCAGCTCCCTGCTGCAGATCTTATTTCACAGCTGCATTAACGCATCGGTCGTCGTGGCTGTCGCAGCCCTGCCTCTGTGTGTGTGAGTGTGCACATATATGTGTGTGTGTGTGTGTGGAGAAGCTCAGGTAGCGACAGAAGCACAGCTCCACTCAAGGGACAGCTCTGTGTGCCTCTCCCCTGACACGGCACTCTCTCTCTCCCTTGACACGGCACTTCGTCTCTGGCTACGCAGTTTGGATCTTCCCTCTAGTCTCTACAGTGGTGCATCAGTGGACACGGGCAGCCGGTAATCCACCCCAAAGGAGAGAACAGCGGAGCGGGGGAGAATGATGTACTGTGATCAGGCAGAGACGGCTGCGAGGGTTAAATCCATCAGATCCTTTTCCCAATCCCTGCCCTTAGTTCTCCCGTTCTGTCAGTGTACATCCGAGCTTCTGCCCTGCATCCATCATTGCACCAGAATTCAAAGGCAGTCCTGTCTCTGAGCTTGCTACATTCCCACACTGAAAGACTCAGACCTTGGCAGAAACACAGGCACACAGAGTGTGAGAGAAGCAAGCAGAGGGAGAAAGAGCGAGCGGAAACAAGAGAGAGCAAGCGATAGAATGTGCAATGGAGAGAAAGCAGAAGAGGAGGGAGAGTGAGTGGGTGAGCATGAGACTGGGAGAGAGTGAGATAGAAAAGGGAGGGGGAAAGTAGAGAGAGCTGCTCTGAAAACTGATGCGGCTGCTTTTCTTAGAGCCTGCAGAGTGTGTCTGCATGTGTGTTTTCTGGATTGTGTGCATCTCGGGGGGGGGGGGGGGG